CCCTTTTGATTCTGACATTTTACATTATTATTAAATTTATTATTCCGAATAACCAAAAAAATTTGACAATTTTTTCTCAATGGAATTATAAAAAATTAGAGAAATAGTTAGGAATGTTTTTTTTTTATTCAATATTTTAGAGTTGAGCATTGCAGACGGAAAATAATAATTTTGTAAAAATAATGAATTGACGGGATTGACTCATCAAATAAATATCTTATTCCACTCCCCGCAAGTCTTGAACGTCGGATGATGAATAATTCACAATTGAGATGCCTCCCAAAGTGAACGTTAACATTTTTGCTCAGGAATTGCTTGATTAACGCGCGGCAATACAAACCGACACTCATCCAGTGGTTATAGCATCATGTCACGCATATCGATCACGATACGTGTCTCAAAACCCTTGAGCTTTTTCCTCATCTCATCGGATGAATTCTCGAACGAAAAATATCATGCGGATGAAAAATTAAACTGAAAAAAATCATCGCGATGAAAATAATTTTCAGAACTTATTTCAAAAAATTTTTGCCGAAATGTCATCTTTACCGATTTTTTCGATTTACTTCATTTTCACAATTTATTTTATATTCCGTTGCCCTACTGCAACTTTTAAATAAATTATCAAGACATTTCGGTGAAAAATTTCTGACAAAAAGTCACTTTTACCGATTTTACCGATTTCACCGATTTTTTCGATTTCCTTCATTTTCACAATTTATTTTATATTCCGTTGCCCTACTGCAACTTTTAAATAAATTTTCAAGACATTTCGGTGAAAAATTTCTGACAAAAAGTCACTTTTACCGATTTTACCGATTTTTCCAATTTCCTTCATTTTCACAAATTATTCCACGGAGTCATAAAATGAATAATCGGCATGATAAGCATCAGACAAGATGAAAGAGAGGAAACGACTATCGATCCTCCAAGGTGACCACAAATTACCACAGTAATACGGTAATTCGTATTCCGGACGAATTTTTCAAACTCTAGACACCATCTTGGTAGCGAATTCGTTTGAGAGTCTCTCAGTGCGCACCTGTTGGCCATTTTCATCCACCAGGTCATCACGATAATTTAACATTTTGGGGTGAGGGGTAAATAATTTTTGGGTAATTTATTCCAGTTTTATTATTCTTTACCGGTGAATTTTAATGCCTTTATTTCTACTTAATACCGCCCACTGTGAAAACCGCAGATGAAGACATTACAATGGCGAAAGATTGCCGGCAGACATTTCTCCGTGAGGGGTCCCACTATTTGGTGGTCTTCTCATCCGGGGAATGCCCAATGAAAATACTTTAATTTCGCTTTTCATCGTTTTTTTCCGTTGGGAGCGCGTGCGCAAGAATTTTTTGATGTCAAGGACCTTAGGGAAATTTTCTGAAGATATTCTTTATCCTGAGAAAATTACAATTGAAATTTTCGCTTAAAAATTTAGCACTTTCTATACAATTCTTAATTTATCAATGAATTTCTTGAATACTCAAGTAATTCTCAATTTTTTAAACAAAATATTGAAAATTAACGTAACAATTTCCGATGTTAATGGATTTTTGAATTTAAAAAATTCAAGTTTTCTTTGAAAAATCAATTATCATTAAATAAAATGTCCCATAAAAATTCACGCGCAACTTCCGTTTCGCCATGAAATACATCTAGCTTACGTAATAAATAAACTCACCTATAAAAGTGTTAATTAAATGCCGAGACGATCTTTAATGGCGTTGGGGAAAAGTGGCGCGTGTTTGTCCGTCGACGCCTAATTGTAACCAAACACCCTCAGCACTTTACTTCACTTGTAAATTCCATTTTCACGTTGTAGTCTACATGCTAAACCGTCCAGACACTATTTTTCCTTTGTGCGAAATGGAGTAACTATAAATAACGGGTTGAAAACGCGCCTTCGTTTCTAAATAGGCGTCGATAAACACCACTTGCCGATTTTTTTCTTTTCGGCTCGTTCGATATTTAGTAGCCGATTCTCTCGTATATCGACGACGGGATTATAAATATCTTCATTAATAAGGCGGGGTCCAGGATATCGAGTCGTTAAATCGTTGACTAGTAATTTAGACATTTTTAGGAGTTGATTTGACGGTTGAAAAGAATATTTGTCTCTTCATTTTTCATTGGCGTTTCATTTTTATGAATAAATTTAATATTTGAGATTCTGGACTACTTATTCGGTGAGTTCCTACATGAAAATATCATCCGTGAGTATTTGCGAGAATAATAAAGATGATTTTATTCAATCGGAATAACTATTTTTCAACGTGGCACGTGAAAATCGGCATATTATTACCGATAACTCGTGATGAAATCGGTAGAATTTCGAAATTCAAATTTCATTTGAAAGAGCTCATTGAGATCTTTCAAACGAGTACCGAGTACATCATTTTCATGCGAAGGGAACACAGGGATTATTATAAAAACTGAAGAAAAGGGGAGCGTTGCGGAGAGGAATCTTTAGCTCGTGGAAATAAAATCGAAATACGCGAAAAAAATAGAATTTCTTTTTGGGAATAATTCTGGGTATTCATTAATCAATGTCGGGCTTCAACAATTGTAAAAAAAAAACATCTGATGATTGAATAAGGAAAAAAAATGCTGGTGTCTCTGAGGGAAGTGCCATGGCTCAGATAAAGATAGATGCCTCGGGTTTCCGGCGTTTCGAGTTAACGACTCGAGATTTTATATGTGTCGCATTTTACTCGTGTGTGTGGAATGGTTTTTCGTCGTCGCCGAATGAGAAAATTTAAACAAAACGACCCGACGTGTATTAACGAGGCGAGGGCGTGTGCGTGCGAATAGCTGACGGTGAAAGAGAAAAGAGACATGAGAAAAGTGGAGACACGAGGGAGAAAGATGAAGAGAAGTTGCATCGAATCATCTGGCACTCAGCGAGTATTAGAAATAGAATCGAGCCGCTGCCGGCTGTGACGGCACGGAAAAAATAAAAGATCAGAAGTAAAAATCGAGTTAAAAGCAAGTGAATAAACAAATAACACGAGTTGAGTTGATCTTCTGCTAGTTTTTCGAGAATATCTACGGAGCTAAACGGGCTAGGAAAATTTTCGTGGAACCGATTTTGTCGGAAATTTTGGTACCAACGAAAAAGCTCCCACGAACTTTTCGCTATCTCTCCTAGATTCTGAGATATCTCCGAAAAACTGGAACTGAAACTCGTCTATGGTCGAAAATCATTCGATCTCAGTTTCAAAGTTGCCGATCTTGTTGAATATCTTGAGATCTAGGGGAGATGGTGAAATTTTGATGAGAACTTTGTTTTCGCAGAATTTTTCGAGCTACAAAAAAGGTTCAATGTAAATTTCTGTATTAGGCCTAGATTCTTAGATATTTGCCGAAAAGTGGAGGTGGAATTCGTTGATCTTTCGTTTTTTCGAGTGTAACTATTCAATGGTCATTTCTGTCACCCGTATTTTATTCCGTATTAATATTTACATAATTATCTTGAGGTATTGACTCGAAATAATGTAAATACCCCTGGACATTCGGCTTTATTAAATGCTTCCTGACATGAACAGCTTGTCTTGCTCTCCCCAGTGTTAACGTTTATTAGCCTGTTTACGCACCGGGGGCTCAAGTCTCTTTCGTTTGGTTTTGAGCCCCAGGAGTGGGTAATCGAGATTTGTGGGCACTTGGTAAACAAGGGGACTCAGGGGTTTGTCTTTGCTAAGTAAATGAACAAATATATGTTCATGAGTATGAATACAATCCGCTAATATTTGAAGTTTCAATTTTTAGCAAATAACGAACTAGTTAATCCCTCATTGGCACCCACACATAATTAACACGATAATCAGAACATCCAGAACAATATTCATTAATTAATTTAATTTATATTAACAAATTAATCATTTATATTAACGATTACTGATGCAAGCGCAAAAATTTAGCTTTTTCTGCGAATATCCCGAGAACTATCGACTTAAGAGAGAAACATTGAGGAACTTTTTTGCAGCCAATTGAATTGTTAACAAAAAAGGTCTTCTCATATTTTTTGATAAAATCAGTCGTTTTAGCAGTAATTGATGTTTAATGAAATAATTTGATTTATTGAAATTTATCGGGGTTTTAGGGAATTTGTTTAAATGAAAATAGCAAATGCAACAATTGAGTTAACGAATTCATCTATCTTTCACTTAAAAAACTCATAATTCATGGGCCTAATAATAAAAACTGGGCTTTATGCAGGATACCTTAGCCACAGTAAATTGCCATCATAAACGACACGTGAACTTTTGAGATGAAGACCCAGAAATCTTTGAAGAGTTGTTTTTAGTGTTTTCCGCGTCATTTCAATGTCTTCCGCCCGTATCCACTCGTCATCCCTCAAGCTCTTCCCTCTCTCATCCTCTTGAGATCCAGTGAATCATTAAATGTTGAATGCCCTCTTTGATACCTAAACAGCGTTCTAACGACGCTCCGACATCGTAGTTGGATGATTTTCGTGAAATTATTATCAAGATATTGCGAAACTCAATCGTTCATATCCATTAGAAAAAAAATTATTTGTTTACTTGATGTCACGAAATTTGTCGTCTTGTTTTGAGATGAACAAATGAAAAATTCAGCGAATATTTATATCTATTTTACACGATAGAAATCGCGAATAAATTCACGAAAATAATGAAAAAATCGGTGAAAATGAGTTTTCGAAAAAATCGGTTGATAATGAGTTTTCGAAAAAATCGGTTGATAATCTTGAAAATTCATTGAAAAATTCCGTAGAACAACGAAATCATGAAGGAACTATCAAAAATCCAATCAAAATCGGTAACGAGAAAAATCGATAAAGCCGTAAATTTTTCGTAAGGGAAAAATCGGTAATAAAAAAAAATCGGTAAAAATGACTATTCATAAAAATCGGTTGATTATCGTAAAAATTCATTGACATCTGCAATAAGATAAATTGACAAATAAATTATCAAGAATAAAGGAAATCGTTATAAATTTTGGAATTTTGCTTTCAGATTATCGAGTGCTGGAGCAGGTAGTCCAGGGAGTTGTGGTGCTGGTGGTAATTCAGGAGCTGGAGAGGTAGCAGGAGCGCCAGGCGCAGCGCCCAGCAGTGGCGCTGCTGCCAACGGCACAGCAAACGACTTCTTCCGGCGTAGTCATCCACTGTCGGATCATACGCCCTTACATCCTTATCGTCTCAACTACATGGACCACCTTTATCACACACTCCAGGCCTCCACGCACAGTCCTAACGCCTCTCTACACGGTGAGTCCTTTGGGGGTGACACAGGGTCCTGGAAGGACCCGCATATCCGCCGGATGATTATGAATGGGGTGAAAAGATCTTTTTGTTCCACATCCGCTTATTCGTGATTTTTTTTCTTATTCATGTGCAGGACTGGGTGGATTGGGGCCAGAGTACCTGCTGCATCCTGCTGGACCTGCTAGCACTCTCGCTTCTTCCGAGTTTCCGTTCTCCATTGACGGTGAGTCCAATTATTTTTCATATCTCAATATCCGAAAATTAATCTTCCATTATAAAAATTCATTGCGCTCTCGCACTGATCGTCATACCAACCGATGTAGATATCGATAAATTTTTTGGCTGATCGAAACCTTTAGGAAAATCATTCAGATAATTTTCGGTGCTAAAAATCCAAGTGCGATGATAATAAAAAAAGATGAGGAATTTAGAATGAAAGATTGACACTCTCGCTAGTTGAAAGTTTTTGAATCCAAAAATCTCCAAAATTTTCAACAACATTCTTTGACAACATCGTCATCATTCATTGACACCAGAGCAGTAAAAGTGGAAAAAATTCTTGTCATGAAATAAACCACAGGGAGGTCTTGTCCCCCTCCCTCTTGGGGTAAACGAAAACGCCTCTGTGGTTTCGACGTTTTAAGCGTCGATTTGCCTGACTAACCGCAACCCCGGCTGTTAAAACGTAATACGCTAACCACTCGATGTATAAAGACTCGATGGAGAGTATTCAAGATGCGGTTCTGATCATCAGAGTCTTCTGTTTCATTCGGAAACATGGGGTGGCAAGAGGATAAGGCGATTGGCAACGTGATACAGATCGCAATTTTTTTTCACTCGAGTTAATCGGGAGCGAAGAGTCTCAGGTGTATTGTGTTACTAACGCGAATTTCATGTTAACAAAGTGGCCATTCCAATAATTTTGCGGGTGAAAAATCCCCAAGGGATAAATCAGCTGATAATTTTCGCGAACGGAACAGCTTCATGAATTTCTCTCAACACTTGATGAATTGATAATTTATCTCCGTGAATTTTTAAACGCCTATAAAGAATCAGTAACCCCTTTCTTCTAAAAAATAAAGAAAGAAAAATACAATCCACACATTCTGTCCTCCTGATGTGAATCTTACCGACCCCGGCAGGACGATATCGACACCGAGATAGGCTAATGCGCGACCATGGGACTCGAAGACAATATCTCCTTGTCCACACACCCATAAAACCCCCAACGAAATTCAAATGCACGGAACAGAAAAGAACAAGAACTAAAAAGAAGATGAAAAATAAGACAAGTACCTCTTCTTTCCTTGTCCCTGGTCCCTTGAGTTAGGTGGGAGTGAATTTAGCATTCACCACCTCACGAACAGGTACAGAATACAGGACAAGCCACAGCCACATTTTCAACTGCTGCATTTAAAAAATAAAAGTGGAGGAGAGAGAATTCCTTTCAATTTTCTTTGTTATTGTCCAAGAGAAGCTGAATAAAACAAGACTATTATCTAATAGTGTGAAAATACGAGATGACTCGTTCGAAAAAAAATGAAAGCGAATAAAAAACGGTCTTTTCAATTTCTTTATTGAAAACATTCTCCTCTTTCAATTTTCTTCGCATTCTGTTGTGTGCCACCCCTTCAACAGCGTCGAATGCGATAATCACACGGATTCACTAATGAATACACTGCGCAACCCCCTGCGCAGTGCCCTGCGCACGTCTCGCGCGCTCCATTTCAAAACAATTAAATCGCGTTCAGACAATTCAGTCCCTAAATTAGACGGAATAAATCAAGTTGATGAAGTACTTGTCGGGGATTTAAATAGAAGATGCATCCGTTAGTTGAAAGTGACGTAATGTGAAAAATTAATTTAAAAAATCGAAGAGAGAGAGAGGGGATTTTTTTTTTCAATGAAAAAAGAGAGAATGGACAACCAACCGGACAAGACCAATCGAACAGTCTTGGGGTAGGGGATGGGGGAGGAACGACGGGGATGAGGTGCCTCGTTAGCCGCCACCATGCGCGCATAATTGAATCGACTCGGAGCGACACGACCTCATTAACACCTTTACCTCGAGCTGACTACAGGTTGTCTCACGTTTCCAACTACTCTCCCTCCCTTTTTCGATAGGATGAGGGAACATTCACGTGGCTACCAGTCGAGTTTATCACTCTCCAGTGTAGTTTAATCGCCGGTAATCGAGGGTAACAGATCTTAATTATTAATCGGTGGGGGTTGGGATGGGGGAGGTGGGAGGATTTTTCAATGGGTGGGAAGTGGTGAATTTTTGCTTCTCTTTTTTTTTTCTTGAGATGAAGATGGGATCGCGGATTGCCGGTATTTGCATGTCTCAATCCGTGGGATGGGGCCCATGCATATTCATGATGTCTCGGAATTATGGGAGGGACTGAGGGGTGGGGGGAATTTTTGCGCATTTTTCCCTGAAACCAGTCATTAACGAGATGATTTTGGCATCAGCTGTTGCGTTTTTACGGCCAAGTCGAGGCTTTATAATCATTCAAGCTCAACTTTTTTATTTTTTTTTTCAATCGAATTTTTCAATAAAACAGAAAATTAACTAAAAAATCAGAACGAACGTTCGATTCCATTATTTCATGATAAATTCACGGAAAAAATGATTTTCAAATTGAATCTGCAAAAATTAAAAAATCATTTCGATTTTACAATTTCATGTTAAATTCCGACAGAATTATTTCCACATTGAATGCACGAGCAATTCCATTTCTTTTAATTCAAAAACTGTCTTCGATGAAAATAATGAATAACTAATTTATCCGTAATTAAAAAAATTTCAGCTTCATCTCGACTGGGCAGCCCACGAGCCTCGGCAATCCGGGCAAGTCGTAAACGCGCCCTGAGCAGTTCTCCATACTCCGATCGCTTTGACATCGACAGTATGATTCGCTTCAGTCCCAACAGTTTAGCAACAGCAATAGTCAATGGCTCACGAAGTAGCAGTGCCAGTGGCAGTTACGGTCACTTATCCGCAGGTAAATATAAATCACCTTTCCTCATTATAATGTATTCCATCTATTCCTCCGTCTCATTCCCCGAGCACTGACGACACCTCAAGACATTAACGAGTTTCCGTTCAACTGTAAAATCGTAAAATGAATTACCAAACGTAGAGAGGCGGGGGGTGGAGAATTTTTAACTCCTCATGGGACTCTGGAATCCCGTAGCATGCGACTCTAATAATACTCACCCTTCCAGAAGTCAACCCACCGCCTTTGGTGTCTTTTACGATTGTACAGTTAAAGAATAGCTCCAGATCATCTCTGGTATCAACTTCCGGTTTATCCAGCCACCGAAATTTCATCGTTAATCCTTTTGATGGGTCATCCACCCCAGAATTAATAATCAGTACAGGAAAATAGTGAAATAATTATTCATTTAATTTCTCTATTTCGTCATTCTTGATAGAAGAATTATGTCTTCGATAATAGGCTGTCCCTTCAGGCTCTCCATTCGTTCATTTCCATTTCTTCATTTTCTTCTTCCACTCTATCTTCAGGAAGAGATGTAATTGGATTATATACACCGGTCACGTAGCCCACACAGGACAACCATATTAGTGTTCGATGTAATCTAGTCATAACAATTTAAACGAGGAGAGAACGGCGCGGTTAATATCAAGGGTATCCCCACAATTTTTTTTTTTTATCTCAAATGATATTTGATATTTGATTAATGTGCAATTGATCGAGCCGTCGGTGTTTATTTAGGAGAATTTTATTCGCGGAATACGATTGGGTTTTATCTCTCGTTGGAATGCATGGTTAATTGTGTAGCTGGGGGATTATCGGGATAATTGGGATGCAGAGGTGTCGGGCAGTCGGAAGTTTGTCTAGTGCATTGAAATGAGGATATTATATCTAGGAATTTATCATTCAGACTGTTGTGTCAAGGGAAGACTACCAATTCCCAATCCTTTCTCGAAGGTTTCAGTTCTTTTAAAAATAAAAATACAGATGCTGAATAGTAACGATATACGACAATTAATTAATTACCATTCAATTAATATATCAATTAAATATTTTTTTACTTCGCATTGGGTAATTTTTGAATGAAAGAATATTTATTTCTTTTGCAATAAAAAATGAAAAATGAGGGAGAAAAAAGGAGAAAAAAGGAGAAAAATTGTGGAGAAAGAAAAGATTGGAGAAATATATTTGACAGTTCTCATAAATCGTCAAGCCCTGCAATTAGCCTCCCCCTAAAATTGAATAATTGATTTACAGCAATGTCTCCAGCCCTGGGTATGCATCCAGGAATGGCGCCGCATTTGCAGCAGCTCCAGGCGCACTTTCTCCGTAGTGCAGCAGCTGCAGCACTCCTACCCCATCCACTTCAGCCATCACCACCACCGCCACACCCCCACAGCCACCCACACAGCCACGGTCTGACCCCTCACAGTCAGCTATTTACGGTGCCACACTCATCCGCCTCGACAATAGGACCACACGATGGAGGACTACCACCTAAAACCGATCCAAATGATACCTGCAGACGTGCCTCGGAGTCCTCGAACAGATCGATATCAGCTGAGGCTGACACGTCCTCCAGGAGGCACACTAAAGTCAAGAGAGAGCCAGCCACAACGACAACGACAGCAGCTGTCACTCATCCCCAGGGGTTGAGTCCCAGTGAGGATCTGAGGGATGAGCCTGGTGACTTCATCGAGACCAACTGCCACTGGAGGGACTGTGGCCTTGAATTTCCCACTCAGGATGATCTTGTAAAGCACATCAATAATGATCACATTCATGCCAACAAGAAGAGCTTCGTATGTGGCTGGGAGGAGTGCTCCAGGGAGGAAAAACCATTCAAGGCCCAGTACATGCTGGTGGTGCACATGAGGAGGCACACTGGTGAAAAACCACACAAGTGCACATTCGAGGGCTGCTTCAAGGCGTACTCCAGGCTGGAGAATCTCAAGACCCACTTGAGATCTCATACTGGTGAAAAACCGTACACCTGTGAGTATCCAGGGTGTAGCAAGGCCTTCAGCAATGCCAGTGACAGGGCCAAGCATCAGAACAGGACGCACTCCAATGAGGTGAGTTATAACACTTTTATTCTTTATATTCCTCAAGAATTAAATGACTTGTACATTAAATTATTTAGTTATATCCTCTCTATTTCAATACTCCATTTATTTTCCTTTCTCATTATAATTAATTAAAAAGAAATAATCGAGTTTTCAGTCTCAGAAATATAAAAATGGATGAACTCTGGAATAGAGCGACTCCTTATTAAATATTCCCCTCAAATAATTGGGGCTTCCCAATCTGACTGATCCTTCCTTTCCAGAAACCCTACGTCTGCAAAGCCCCAGGATGCACAAAACGCTACACCGATCCGTCCTCACTGCGAAAGCACGTGAAGACAGTTCACGGGGCTGAATTCTACGCGAATAAAAAGCACAAGGGTGGTGGTGACGGTGGTGGAAGTGATGAGGCCGGTGCAGGTGGTAATTCACCGAGCAGAAGTGAGGATCTTCATCCGAAGACACCAAGCCTGTCCTCACCGTCTGTTAAATCCGAATCAGAGGCTAATAGTCCACCAGGTATGATTCAGCAGCAGGGTAGTCCTCTAGTGGGTGGTTGCACCGATGAAATGGGAATGACAGTGGATGGGGTGATGCTGGGAGAGGACAACTGGGTGGAGGAGTCTGATGATCTCGATATTGCGGATCTACCGGTTGCCCTGAGGGCGATGGTGGGTGGAATTGAGACTCAGCAGGCGCCTCCACCTTCGAGGAATCGAATGAAGGGACGGCTCAGTGCAAAACCTGTGCCATCGATTAATGTTGGGGGCAGGGGAAGAGTTGTGGGACCACAGGGGAACATCGGTGAGCTCAATAGGAGAATCACAGATCTCAAGATGGAGGGCAACAGGCAGACTAGCCTGTCGGATCTTCAGTTGAGGCTTCAGCCTCTCAGCGAACCTAGGAGGGACTCCAACAGCACTGTCAGCACTTATTATGGCAGCATGAGGTCCACTGATTTTGGCAGCAGGAGGAGTAGTCAGGCTAGTGCTGTATCAGCTGCTAGAATTGGTCCTGCTGGTCCTGGCAGCTTCTACGATCCCATCAGTCCTGGCACCTCCAGGAGAAGCAGTCAGATGAGCACTTTCTCGGGGAGGAATAATCAGGGAATTCAGGGCCAATATTCTACCAGCAATCTCGTTGTTCAAACGCAGAATATGTCGATTCAGGTAAGATTATTGATTATAAATTAATTCTATCAATCTTTTTTCTTTGGTGATCCAGAGAAATTTGTGTCGTTTTTATTAGGAGAAATCGATTTGAGTCAATGAATTTTCGTTTTGGTTTTAGGGTGTTCAGGGTGGAACGAACGAGTGGAGCTCGTCGACAGGGCTGCCTCAGCCATCTGGAGACAGGAGAATGTCAGAACCCACCAGGGGATACCAGAGTCAAAGAATTTCACCACCTGTACCACCTAGACCGAGATCAGCGCAGTTACCTGAGTTGCATCCTAATCAGGAAGTGGTGCTCGACGAGGTGGGAGAGGGAGAAATGGTGGAGAACAAGTTGGTGATACCTGATGAGATGATGCAGTACCTGAACGAGGTATCTATTATCCTGACACATTAGCCTCGTTAACGATCATGTTTTTTCTATTGAATTCAAGTGATTTCTTCCTTCGATGTCTCAATTTTCACCTCAATATTATTGTTATTCCAGGTTCAAGCAGGTGGCAATCAGGTCAGTTATCGAGGCAGTCCCCTGCCAATCTGCCAGTCGCCAATCTGCACAAATCCCTTGCACTATCAACGCCAGCAACAGCCTCCTTGCACCTACTCTCCTCATCCCACTCATCCATCACCCCCTCAGCCCTGCTATCAACCACCACAACCCCAAAATCCACCCTGCCAGAATTACCAAGCGCCGTCACCCTCATACTCCCACTGTCCTTCGTCAAGAATATCACAGACATCCACCTACTATCCCCAGAACAACTGCCCCCAGATGCAGCCAAGCCCAGCAAGCCAAGTTATGTCACCAGGATCTCACTATGCACCTAGTCACATCAGCGATCAGCCAATGACTTCACCAGCAGCAGGTGCTCTGCCCCCTCAAATGAATTCGCAGATCAATCCCCAGAGTCTTCAGCAAAATTCAGCTCAGATGTCGAGAAATTGCCCCCAGCAGATGAACTACTACCAAAATTACACCTGCCAGGGTCAATTGGGGAGCAATTGTAATGGCCAGGGGCATCAGGGCCAGCCCTGTCCATCAATATCCAATGGCAATGGCTGTGTCCAGCAGATGAGAAACTGCAACATGTCTCACTGTCAGCCAAGGGCACCAGGGCATGCAGTTGGTGCTGGCTGTGCTCCAGGGCAGCCTCAGTGCCCGAGGACACCTGTGAACGAGGGGATGAGGACTATGAGGGAGCAGGAGGCTGGAATAAATGGCTTGGGACCGTGTCAGGGATCCAGTCAGCACTGTCCTGGAATTAAGGGGCAGAACGGCGTCTGCCAGGTGAATTGCACTCATCCAGGTGTCAATCAGCCCAGAAATTCAGGACAGGTGACCAAAGGGAATTGCACACGTCAAACCAACTCTCGAGTCCAGAGCTGCAGCTGTCAGGCGTCATCGGGCATTCAGCAGCATCAGGGACAGCAAAATCAGTTCACCAATCCTCAGGGCTGCGGTTGCCAGTGGAATTATCAGCATGAGTGCTACAATGGTCATGGCATGGAGATACAGTGCAGGGATATAAGCCAGTCTCAGGGATCACCTATGAAACCTCCTGGGATGCAGCAGGACTCCTACAGGAGGACACTTGCTTATGTACAGCAGCTGGAGAAGTGGTCGGGTAATGCACAGATGCACGAGACCAATGTCTCTAGCTCCACTCATCCACTATCTCTGCCACAGCCACTGCCTGCTAGCTCCAATATGGTGGTCAATGACATGACTTCTTCGCTGAGCTCACTTCTGGAGGAGAACAGGTACCTTCAAATGATTCAGTGAAGCTATTTATTGGGATTTTTCTTTTTTGGGAAAAAAATTTAAAGATTTACCTCGACTTCCGATATGTTCAAATTTCTACACCGGAAATGACGTCATTTCGGAATGGAAAAGGTTGATTTTTTTAAACCGGAAGTGACGTCATTTTGGAAAACCGGAAGTGATGTCATTTTAGTAAACGCGGATGTGACGTCATTTTGTCGAACCGGATGTGACGTCATTTTATCGAAACCGGAAATGACGTAATTTTGGAAAAACCGGAAGTGACGTCATTTTTTAACCGGATGTCGAAAATTTTGAAACCGGATGTGACGCCATTTTGGTAAAAGAGGATGTGACGTCATTTTTTAACCGTATGTCGAAAATTTTGAAAACGGAAGTGACGTCATTTTTAATCGGTAGCGAGGTAAATTTTTAAAAACCCGAAATGATATTCTTAAAAAACGGAAGTCCAAACATTTTCCATTTGAGAGATATTTTAGAGAAAGCCAATTTGTATGGAGTTTGAAATTTTGAAAATTTTTCTAACTGAACATTTTGTAAAAATATCTTTTCACTACCTCGTGGTGGCTCACGTGCCTTTTTGTACTCCCAGTGCCTTCAACTTAATTTATTACCTATCATTAACGATAATAGTGGCAGTTAATGACTGATGTGGATGTTGATTAATACTCAGTAATGTAGGATTGTAGTTTTCATTCGTAAGATTCCTTAGGACTTAGCTATTTTTCTTGATAGGAAATTTAAATCGAGATTATTTCGAGCTCAGTGAAGAGTGTACGATGTACGCTGTGATAACAGAAGAAAAAGATACAAATTTATTATTTTAATGTAGGATTCGTAATAATTAGGGTTAGGATAATGCATTTATCGTAATTAATGGGTTGAGAATCGGTGAGAATTTGAGGTCTAAGAAAATTATAGTGTATTAAATGTTTGAGTTTAGTGAAGAAAGAAAGGCCAATACTAATTTTTAAGACCTTGTAGATAGTGTGAATGACTTTTTTTCTGTTTCTTTTGATCTCGCCATCATGAGATTATGGTTTTTCGAATGATTATAGCATTCTAGGGATAGTATTATTAATTAGGTAAAAGTTTGTGCGGAAATTTTGTACTTGTCGGGTTAACCGCGGAAATTAGTAATTAGATCGATTGATGATCGAATTGATCGTTAATTGTCGTTTAAATGCCTTCGATTGTGCCTGAGAGTTAGAGACTTGGAAGTGTCTAGTTTTTTTTTCTATAATCTCCTAATTTTTCACTTTTGTTAAAATCAATAATTTCTCAAGATATTTTATTTTATTAATTATGAGTAGATGAGGTAGAATTACAGCAAAATTATCTTGTGAATATTATACATATCGAGGTGGAGAGAATTTTAAGATGCCTTTGTATTCTTGAGTTTAACATTAAAATGTGTCTGAAGAAAATGAATGTTGTTAATTATTTGTAATAAACTGTACACCTTTTATCAAATTATTTTTTTTGTCAATTTTATTTGATTCTCCTGTTTTTTACATTTTATCAAAGTATAAAAACGGC